TCAGATCAATGTAGGAAGAGGAATAACAAATAAAAACATAAAAATTTTAAAAAATACAATGTGGCAAAAATCCCATTAAGCATGTGGGAAAAAGGAAATTACACAAGAAAAGAAAAAAAAGAAAAGAAGGAAAGAGATGAGTTATTGGAGCAGCTTCTTTCCAAATCTCCTAGAATTAGAGGCTGCAGTTTTCATGAGTGGGGAGCACAGTCAGCTGAATTTTGCTTCATGCAGCTACTGAGTCCATATCAGACAAGTGCCTGATGTCTGCCAGAGCTGTCTTTACAGCAGCCATTTTCCTTTTGTGTGTATCAGGGACCTCTGCGGGCCTCACTTAGCCTTCTGTGCTTTGGGCTGGCTCTCTCACCCTTCCAAGACTCCTCAGAGCATACACACCCCTCTGAGGTAGCTAGGGGGTGTCTCTCAAGCACATTGGGAGTGTGGGAAGCAACTGCAGCAGTGAGATCAGTACAGATGTAAGAAGTGACTTTGTACTTTCAGGGTCTGTTGCTTATTAATTTGTTGGACAGATGCACTGTGGGTATCCTGTATGCATCTGAACTTCTGAATTCTCAGGATCTACAGTAGTGAGCAATCAACAGATGGCTCCAGAATTTTGATCCACCCAGTGACTTCGGGCTCACAGCTCTCAGACTCCAGGGTATTTCTCAGTGGAGACATCTCTTCCCAGACACAGACCACTGAGTGTGAAGCTATCTCTCCTTACGTTCTTCGGGACTGAGCCTGCTGCCTGAGTCCCGCACCCTTTGGTCCATCAGTATATGACTCTTTTGCTCAGCACAGTGTCTTCTCTGGGTTTTCCCTCACTCAGGGCCTGTGACAGGCCAAAGTGAGGCTTCCCGATTCTCGGATGTTCCCTTGTCTCAGGTCTCTCAATATCTATTTTAAACAATAGATTCTCTCTCAAGAAGAAGCCCAGCTGCTGCACTCCAAGTCATATCCTGTGGCAAAATGAGATTTCTCTCCATTGCTGAGCTATCTGATGAAGGAAACACTTTCTCATCAAAACCTGCAATTGAATTTGAAGCTCCTGAGGGCTGTGGGCTTGTGAGGGTGGGACTGGTTGGCTTTCATAGGGCTTACCTCTTGTGAGCAGTTCTTGAGCACCACCCCCACCCCCAGAAGGGAACACATGGTGGAGTCTGTGTTTGGCTTGCTCCTCTGGGTTGCTTGCCTTTGTTTCTGCTCTTTTCTGGTGCCCTCTCACGTTCTTCCTGGATTTCTGAAAGTTTCCCTCTGTTTCTCTAGCTTGCTTTGCTTGCTTTCTCTCTCTCTCTCTCTCTCTCTCTCTCTCTCTCTCTCTCTCCTCCCTCCCTCCTTCCCTCCTTTCCTCCCTCCCTCCCTCCTTTTCTTTCTTCCTTCTTCTCATCTGACTCTCTCCTTCACTGACTCTCACAGAGGCAGTGTCTAATCCACCATCTTACCTGTAAACCATTTATTTTCTTGATGATAGCCATTATGATGGAGGTGAGACAGAATCTCAATACAGTTTTGATTTTCATTTCCTAGATGGCTAAGGATCTTGAACATTTTTTCATGCATTTATTGGCCATTTGTATTTCTTCTTTCAAGAGCTATCTGTTCAATTCATTTGCCTGTTTATTAATTGGATCTTTTGTGTTTAACTTTTTGAGTTCTTTATAGATTCTAGATAATGATGCCCTGTTAGGTGTTGTTATATGACTTTTTCTGGGGAGATATGAACAAATGTCTGTTCACCTCAGATAGACACCAATGAGACCAAAGAAATGATTCCACCCAAGTCTTGCTTAGTGAAGCAAGTTTACTATACTTACATACAGGAACGTAGGTGAAGGGTTACTAACAGGAATGTAGGTGAGAGATTATTTAAAGAAGCATAAGATAACTCAAAGGCAACTGCATCCTGAGAAGCCCACTTCAGCATAAGTGAGTCAGACCTCAGAAAGGTGGGCAGATACAACAGAAACTCACGGTGACTAGTAGCGACTGTCCAGTAGGCTTTCAAAGCAGTTTCTAATGGTCTGTTGGACTCTACTGAACCTATAGTGGTATTTCATTTTTAGTTTCTATTTTTACTGACTTGGTTCCTCTCTCTCTCTCTCTCTCTCTCCCTCTCCTCTCTTTCGTGTGCTTGGTATCTTTCATGTGGTTAGTTTGGCCAAGAATTTATCCTTCTTGTTTAACTTTTCCAAGAACCTATTCTTTGTTTCTTTGTATGATGTTCTTTTACTTTCCATTTCTGTCCTTATTTTTATTATTTCCATCCATCTATTCCATTGGATTTGGCTTAGTTCTTGTTACTTAAGTTGTCCTCAACTTTTTAAATGCAAGCACTCATAACTTTAAGTTTTCTTTTTAGAACTGCCTTCACCGTATACCAAAGGTTCTTCTAGTTGTGTTTTGGGTATTATTATTATTTTTTTATGTGTATGTATGTGTGACATGCAAGTATGTGTGTATGTATATGTTAGCATGTGTATGCTCAGGTGCATGTGCACATGTCTCCGTGTACATGTGGCAGCCTCAGGTTGATGCTGGGTGTCTCCCCTTGGTTGTTCTCTACCTTCTATACTGAGACAAGTTCTCTCACTTCAATCTAGAACTCACCAACTCTACAAGTCTGGCTAGTCATCTTGCTCTGGGGAACCCATATCTCTTCCTTCCAAGTGATGGTGGGCTACCGTGTCCACCCAGTCTTTCCATGGTTGCTGGGGATTTGAACTCTGGTCCTCATGCTTGCATACAAGTGCTTTATGTGCTGAGCCACCTCTCCTGCTGTTGTATTTTCATTTTCATTTGATTTTAGAAAACATTTAATTTCTGCCCCAATTTTGTCAATGACCCACTAATGATTCAAGAATATATTGTTGGGCTGGGGATGTAGCTCAATTGGTAGTGTGACTGCCTATCATGCATATAGCCCTGGGTTGAATTCCCAGCACCACAAAAAAAGAGTATATTGTTCAATCTCCATGCATTGTGTAGTTTTTATAGGTTCTTTCCCTGTTGATCATGGAATCCTGGACTGAAAAAAAAGGTGACAGTGAGCTGAGCACCA